ATTAACAATATAATATAGCAGTGTATTAAGAGTATATTATAGCAGTATAATATAGCAATATATTAACAATATAATATAGCAATATATTAACAGTATAATATAACAAATAACTAGCAGTATATGAACAGTACAATAAATAGTTATACATTTTTTTTAAGAATTAATGCAACACATCAATCACATATAACGCACTTGTTACTTTTACAAAATAAAAATCATATTTACCAACGTTTCTCGTTGACGATTTCGTGTATATGCACAGGTCAGTCTTACGATAGCAGACACCTGGATTTTTTTAGGGATGGGGCCAGTATACAAGTATAAAGGAGTCGTGAAAGAGGAGTCGTTTATAAGAAAGCATTGAAAGCCTTGCGAAAGAAGGGTCCGCTTACGTTGCTTATTGATCTTGTCGGCGAGTCCTGCATTGGTTCAGTCCTACTTCAGCCCACAGATATATTTAACAGGAAAGAATATTTTCATAAATTTGTCTTCTAACGAGTGCCTATCTTAATAAAACAATCTCTGAAAATTATCTCTTCACTGTTTATATTATCCTTCTGTTGTAAAATTTAAGAAAGTTCCTATGTCCACGAATAATATCTTTAGAAGAGGAAGAATATTCTCTTTATTAAATTTATCTTTTAAGTAAATGTCTCATTGTAAATAAAATAGACGTGAAATTTCCTTCTTTCCTGTGTATCATCTTTCTATCATAAAGTTTAAAACAACCATATAGTTACTCACTTATCAGAGAAGTTTATTTACTCGAGCAGATTATTTTTGCAATGAATTACAAGTATTTCTCCTTCCACAGTTATTAGAAATTTATCAACGAAGTGTAGGTAAAAATAGAGGAGAGCCTTTATCGATCCTGAGGTCCAGTTTGCCATGAACTTGACAAGGACATCCCTCTATATAGTAACGAATTCCTTACTTACATTATACCTAGTCGATTCATCCTCTGTCGAATATTCAACCATTGATTTTTTTTTTTTTTTTTTTTTTTTTTTTGACTACCCGCATGTCTGATTCCTTGCTACGGTTGCGCATCTGTCCATTTATTTATTTAGCAAGAAATGTCGCAACGACAAATTGAAACGATTCATCTGGCAGATGTTCAAAAGATTGATTGAGCATTGGAAATTAAACAGGCATGTGAATCGATGGCAATTCGGTTGAATCGTTACGTTTGCATTTTATTTATCGTGGGTGCGTCTCTGCCTAGCCCTCGCACGCTCCACATACGTTTCATAGCGACACACCCTGTATGTGGTCCCTGGAAGTGATCACGTAAAATGCACAACTTGTAGTCACAATACGTCTGCTTACATATCCGATTGACGTTCGTCGCCCATACGTAGTAGTAGCAAACCGAGCTTGGCAAATTTTATTCGAGACGAGGATAAAAAAAGGAAACAACAGTAGTTTGATATATTAAATGTAAAATTGTGGGAAATTGTGGGAAAATTGTAAGAGATTATTTGCGAGTGACATATTTTGTCTTGTGTCGGAATAAAGTGAAATTTATATCGAAATAAACTTTTATTATTAATTAATTATTAATAAACTAAATTAATTTTATTATTAATAAACTTTTATTATTAATTAATTATTAACTTAATTATTAAATATTACTATATTAAATATTACTATAAACTTAATTATTAAATTATTAATATAATTTCAATTTTGTACTACTTACAATGTTGCTATTTTATATAACATTACTGTAACATTTTATGTAACATTGTACAGTAAGAACGTTATTATTAAGTTTATTTCCATATAAATTTCACTTTGTTCCGACACAAGACAAAATATGTCACTCGCAAATAATTTCCCACAATTTTACATTTAACAATCAATGTTCAATTTAATTTGAATTCTCTCTGATCCTTGAATATTTATATTCACGTTCTCATTTTATAATAAACGAAGCAAATTTTGAGGGAACTTCGAATATAAAATCTAAAAACGAGAAACGTGCATATCAACGTGACCTTTTAATCTGTTAAATGGCAATTTATTATAATGTTGAAAAAAGGTCGATAGTTTTATGTTTTGTAAAATTTAGAGCGACGACAGTAGTGACCATTTGAGAAATTATTTCAAGGAACATCTATTCAACCACTGAAATACAACATTGAATAAAATGAAGAATTATTTCATTTGATAATTGAATAATAAAGTAATTAGGAAATCAATTGTAACGTGTAATTATTTTGAAATAACACGAGCAAATAAAATAATGCATCATTTCAATGATCATTATTCAAATATATTGCTCGAATAATGTTCAAGATGTTTCTTAGAAAAATAACAATTTAAAAAATAATTGCTGAACTTTGTTTTATATTTAGATGGGACAAATAGTAAAAAGTTGGAATATTTATACGTTTCTTTTAAATTATTTTATTAATTAAAATTCTTTATTATACAATTATTTCTATTTCAATTACGCTTGCGTTTTTATTAAAAAAAAAAAAAACATCTCTATATGCAAATAATAAATAATTCAGGAAATTAATTTCAACGTTGAAATTTCAAAATGATTTCGCGCCAAATGTAATATTTACCAAATAATATTAATCATAATATTACTAAATTAATTATTCTTAAGCAGTATTGGATATCATGTGGTAAATGAATTAAAAATAAGTTTTATTAATTTAAAGGTTTTTTTGTCAATTATATTTCCATGTAGTTATACTTATTTGAATAGTATCTTATCTTATCTTACAATTAGCATTAAGAATCACGTGGGAGCATTTAAAACAATCCTGATTGTAACAATAACTGTT